AGGCTAGATATTGTTTAAATAAAAACCTTTTGCTTTAAAATGATTTCTTGAAAATTTTGTTTAAATTAAATTTTAAATTTATTTACGTATGCAAATCAATCAAGTAACGTTTTATCTATAGGTTCGAACATACGTCCAACCATCCATTCGTCCGTCCATCCGTCCGTCCGTCTGTCTGTTGTTTTGTCTATATGCGTTCTTAACTAACCCCAAGTTCAATGTCCCATTAAATAGAAACATGCAAGTATTTCTCGCATTTTTTTATTTTTGATTTAATTCTTTTGTTTATTGTTAGTTTATAATAAAAAAAATACTTGTATTTATAAACAAATTGTTTATGCAGAAGTTTTTCTTATAAATGATTAAATTCAAATGCCCTTTGGAAAAATATATAAAAAAATTCCCATTTATTGTATCTTTTTATAAAAAAAAATGCAAAATATATATATTTTTCATATTTTTTTATATTCATTCATATACTGCACTTATTGACATGTTTTGCATACTGATATCAAAATTTCTAAGAATTTAAAAAAAAATTGCATATCTAGTAACTGTTTGTCTGTTTGTTTGTTTTCAAAATGATTTAATAGTTTATTTCCATAATTGTCTAATGGAAATTCTTTTGAAAATTTTACCTTTATTTTCCAAGAATATGTATGTTCGCTGACTATGACTATGTTATAAAAAAATTTCTATTAAATCTACTTTATAGAAAAACTTTTATTGAAACCTTAGGCAAAAATTCTTCTAATTATTTCCTTAAACTAAATGAGACTTCTACCAACACACCTCATTAACCACTAAAGAAAATAATCATCGCTATTAAATTAAATATGTATATACAACCTAAATATCTAGTCTACAGGGTTCCCTTCTATATCTATGTTTTTAAGAAAAAAAATCAGTAATTAGTTCAAATATTTATTGTTGTTTTTGTTAATTATTTCTAACAATAAACTGCCAACTCATGTTGAAAAGTTCAAAAGAAATAATTTTATAAAAATACAAACAATTTCTGTTTTAGTTTTTTAAGTTTCGCTAATTCAATGGAAAATTGATGAGGTGTAACTTATAACAAAAATACAAAAAAATAGACAATCCAATCAACGCATAACATGAACTTTGTGGTTAGTAGTTCTGTTTGTGTTTTTGTATATGAGTGGCCGTCAACGTCACTAGTTTTTATTATAGCAGGCGGTTTAAGCAAGCAAGTCGAAACAAATAAATTTTATAAAATCAAATAAACATAATAGGTGAGTAAGTTTTTTTAACAATAAATTTTGAAAACGAAATCTTTTTAAAAATAACTAGAATCCTATGGGACCCGACGACAGTAGAATGAAAGGCTCCTCAACATTTTTTTTTTTTTAATTTTATTTTATTTACGGACACAGTTAGACACGAATAAGTACGAGGATAGATTTAGACTAATGTAGACTAGTCTATAGTCTAGCCTATAAACTAGTACATAGTATACTCCACAGAATAGTCTATATAATAGATCATAGCCTTGTGTATAAATTAGTTCAAAATCTAGTTTACAGATAAGTCCACAGTCCAGTCTTTAGATTAGTCCATAGTCTAGTCTATAGACTAGTCCATAATCTTCTCTATAGCCTAGTCCAGTCGATAGACTAGTCCATAGTCCAGTTTATAAACTAGTCTCTAGCCTAGTATAGTCTAGTCGATAGACTGGTCCATAGTCTAGCCGATAGACTAGTCTATAGTCTAGCCGATAGACTAGTCCATAGTCTAATCGATTGACTAGTTCATAGTCTAGTCTATAGATTAGTCCATAGTCCAGTCGATGGACTAGTTCAAAGTCTAGTCGATAGACTAGTCCAATGTCTAATCGATAGACTAGTCCATAATGTAGTCTATAAACTAGTCCATAGTCCAGTCGATAGACTAGTCCATAATATATTCTATAGACCAGTCCATAGTCTAAGCCATAGACTAGTCTATAGTCTAGTCGATAGACTAGCCTAAGTCTAGTTGATGGACTAGCCTATAGTCTAGTCCATAGTCCAGTCGATAGTTTAGTCCATAGTCTAATCGATAGACTAGTCCAAAATGTAGTCTATAGACTAGTCCGTAGTCCAGTCAATAGACTAGTCCACAGTCCAGTCGATAGACTAGTCCATAATATATTCTATAGACTAGTCCATAGTCTAGTCCATAGACTAGTCTATAGTCTAGTCGATAGACTAGTCCATAGTCTAGTCGATAGACTAGTCCATAGTCTAGTATATAGACTAGTCCATAGTCTAGCCGATTGACTAGTCTATGGACTGGTCCATAGCCTAGACGATAGACTAGTCCATAGTCTAGTCGATAAACTAGCACATACCCTAGTATATAGACAAGTCCATCGATTGACAAGTCTAGTCGATTGACTATTCCATAGTCTAGTCAATAGACTAGTCCAGAGTCTAGTATATAGACTAGTTCGTAGTCTAGTCGATAGACTGATCCATAGTCTAGTATGTAGACTAGTCCATAGTCTAGTCGATAGACTGGTCCATAGTCTAGTCGATAGACTGGTGAGTCCATAGTTTAGTCGATAGACTAGTCAGTCCATAGTCTAGTCGATATACTAGTCCATAGTCTAGTATATAGACTAGCCCGTAGTCTAGTATATAGACTAGTCCATAGTCTAGTATATAGACTAGTTCGTTGTCTAGTCGATAGACTGGTCCATAGTCTAGTATATAGACCAGGTCATAGTCTATCGACTAAACTATGGACTGGTGAGTCCATAGTTTAGTCGATAGACTAGTCAGTCCATAGTCTAGTCGATATACTAGTCCATAGTCTAGTATATAGACTAGCCCGTAGTCTAGTATATAGACTAGTCCATAGTCTAGTATATAGACTAGTTCGTTGTCTAGTCGATAGACTGGTCCATAGTCTAGTATATAGACCAGGTCATAGTCTAGTCGATAGACTAGTCCATACTCTAGTCGATAGACTAGTCCATAGTCTAGTCGATAGACTAGTTCATAGTCGAGTATATAGACTAGTCCATAGTTTAGTATATAGACTAGTCTATAGTCTAGTATATAGACTAGTCCATATTCTAGTATATAGACTAGACTATAGTCTAGCATATAGACTGGTCCATAATTTGGGGTATAGGGCAGTCCATAGTCTAGTCGATAAACTAGTTTATAGTCTGGCCGATAGAATAGTCCATAGTCTACTCTATAGACTAGTCCTGTGTCTGGTCTTGAGTTTAGTCTATAGACTAGTCCATAGTCTAGCCCATAGTCTAGTCGAAAGACTAGCCCATAGTCTAGTCGAAAGACTAGTCCAGAGTCTAGTCGATAGTCTAGTCCATAGTCTAGTCTATAGACTAGTTCATAGTCGAGTATATAGACTAGTCCATAGTCTAGTCTATAAACTAGTCCGTGTTCTAGTCTATAAACTAGTCCATAGTCTAGTCTATAGACTAGTTCATAGTCTAGTCTATAGTCTGTTGACTAGTCCATATTCTAGTCTATAGACTATATATAGTCAAATGTGATCCGAAATTTATCAACAAAACAAATAGCTGCAAAAGCTGCATTGCGAGTACGCTACACCCGAGCCGACATTCAATTCCACATTAATCATTTTGCAGATCCACCATTTTTCATGGTAAATTCCTAATATTTTTAGCTAATCCAAAAGTATTTGAATATTATCATTAAACTATTAAATAATAAAATAGCACGTCATAATTTATAAGTAAATGACGTTAAAATGGCATTTTTAATTGTTTGCATTTATACTTTACTTTGAAATTAATTATAATAAATGTATGCTAATAAGCACTTTAATTGTTTAATATGAAGGGCATTCATAAACAATTATTATAGAAGTTAAATAATAATTTTATTTCAGTTGTTTTTTTAAAACAAAACAAAATATTAAATAAATATGTATTAAACGTTGACGTAATGTAGTACAGAAAGAGCATTGTGTGAAGTTAACGTAACTGTGGAAAGAGAGAATATTTAGTAAAAATACTCTCTCTGTTTTAAAGCTCGCTTTAAAAACACTATTTGAGTATTTATGGCTTTACTACAAGAGTATCTTAACTCCAAATAGTTAAATTTTAGAAAATCTTTTTAAAATTTCAAAGTAAATTTTCAGTTTCAATAAAATATAAGAGAAATACAAATTTTGAGTTAATACACTCTTTGCTGCTAAAGAGCGATAAGTGTGTTTAAAATATTACCTTTATGAAATAAATTATAAAAAGATTTTATTAAAAAAACTATATGAAATACACTGAGGTTCAAGTAACTAAAATGTGCTAATTTAAAAAACATTTATAGTTGTTGTAATTTATATGATTGTGTAAAATATAACAACAACATTAGCGGTAATAAAATCTTAACAAAAATTTAATTTAATTATTACATTTACAAGGTTTGATAAAAATAAAATTTTCAAAAGAAATAGTTACCTAAAACTAAAAAGAAAACTAGATAAAAACTGGGTGCTGAAACAGCTCTATTATGGGCACAATTATAACCTTTTGAATCGTGAGGTGTGACATCATATACTTACAAAAGATACGGAAGTCAAGAAACTTGATTGATAATGAAAAATGCCAAAATGTCAAGAATCTCGTAAGAAAAAAACCTGTATAACAGTTCATTAACTGGAAGAAAATTACGTCATTTATACTAATTTGAAAATTACAGGTTTTCTTTAAGCACATGATAAAATTATACATATATATACATAAATATATACATATGTAAATAACAGTATATTGTTTAATTAATCTCTTTTAAATTAATATTAATTTTTAAAGCTTTATCTTCAATCTAAATTTTTGAAAGCCTACTACAGGTGATTAGGATACATGTGAACATGACTTCCAAGAAGTTAATTTAGAAGGTCGCGACCGTTCGGGGAAAGTATTAATCAAAAATCGATGCTAAATTTAATTAAACTAAGGTAATATTTTCTACATATTACAATTAAAAAAAAATAATACTTACAAAATACAATGAAATTTTTTTAATTATTTAAAAATTCCACGCTCACTAAAAAGAAAGAGAAAAAAATTTAAGGATTAGTTTTTACTCTAGTTATTACAAAATTAATAAATTTATAATAATATAAATGTGAATACGAAAAAAATATAATTTAAATTTTACTTTCGGAAACGAAAGTCGATGAGAATTTTGAGAAATTGGTCTGCTGAGATTGGGGATCTACATTGAAACCCCCAAAACCGATATTGATTTCCTTCACAATACAATCTGTCTGGAGGAAGCTCGTGCTGTTGCGGAATATGTAAATTGTATTGGATTAGTACTTGTTATACAGGGTTGGGAGCTCGGTCAGCCTAATGAATGCAAAATCTTTTTTAGTACAGTCCATAGGCCAAACTGTGGTCCAGGCTGTAATTCATTCTATCCAACAGATTATAGTCGAGAATATAGACCATACTTTAGTCCACACTATATACCGATCAATATTAGAGAATTTAGACTGGACTAAAGTCCAAACTATAGACTAGATTAGAGTCTAAAATATAGACCAGATTATTGACCAGTCTAGTCTACCACATGAAAGTTCATACTATAGTTCAAACTGTTCCTTACGCTATAGTCCAGACTATTGATTAGACTATGGTCCAGACTTATTACTACATTATAGTCTAGACAATGGACTAGATTATAGTCTAGACAATGGACTAGACTACAGCCCAGCATATTGCCTAGACTATATTCCAGACTATTGACTAGACTGTAGTCCCGACTATAGACTAAACCATAGTCTCGACTATTGACTATACTATAGTCTAGACTATTGACTAGACTATAGTCCCTACTACTATATTCTAGACTATAGTCCAGAGTATTGACTAGACTATAATCCAGAGTATTGATTAGACTATTGTCCAGAGTATTGACTAGATTATTGACTAGACTATAGTCCAGACTCTTGACTAGACTAAAGTCCAGACTACTTATTAGACTACAGTCTAGACTAATGACTAGACTATAGTCCAGAGTATTGACTAGAAAATAGTCCAGAGTATTGACTAGATTATAGTCTAGACTATTGACTAGACTATAGTCCGAACTATTGACTAGACTATAATCCAGACTATAGATTAGACTATAGTCCAGACTATTGATTACACTATAGTCTAAACTAATGACTCGACTATAGTCCAGAGTATTGACTAGACTATAGTCCAGAGTATTGACTAGATTATAGTCTAGACTAATGACTAGACTACAGTCCAGACTATTGATTAGACTATAGTCTAGACTAAAGACTAGACTATAGTCCGGAATATTGACTAGACTATAGTCCAGAATATTGACTAGATTATAGTCCAGACTAATGACTAGACTATAGTCCACATTATTGACTAGATTATAGTCCAGACTATAGACCAAACTATATTTGTGACTATAGAAGGTTCTAAGGACCAGATTATAGTTTAGACTATAGACTAGATTATATTTCCGGCTATAGACCAGATTACTGCCCAGTTTGTAAACCAGGCTATAGTCCAGACTACAGTCCAATCTATAGACCAAATTATTATCCCGATTATAGACGAGACTATATTCGAGACTATAGTCCAGACTATAGACCAGATATTAGTACAAATCTTAAACCAGACTGTGATTAAGCCTACTTATAGACAGACTATAGACCAGACTATAGGCCTGACTATATATCAGACTATTTACCAGTTTATAGTCCAGACTACAGACCAGACTTTAGTCAAGACTATAGAAACTAATTTAGATTTGGATTATTGACCAGACTATAATTCCGACTTTAGATCCAAGTACAGCCTATATTGTAGATTATAGATCCGACTATGTATAGTCGGATCTAAGACCAGCCTATATTGTAGATTATAGATCCGACTATGTATAGTTTAGACTATAGACAATACTATATGACGGACTATATTCTAGACTATAGATCAGACTATAATACGTACTATATAAGATACTATAGTCCAGACAATACATCAGACTATATAGAATCAACACCTGTATGCGTGGTCGCGGTGGACATCTGCCCGATATTATTATTTATTTATTTATAATTGCCAAACCCTACACTGAAAATAATCCATGCTTAACTTTACGAAAAAAAATTTCGTAACTACTTTTTTCGTAATATATACGAAAATTTCGTGTATAATACGAAATATTGTTTAATCAACTCCTTTTCTAATTTTACGAAAGTACGAAAACCTGTCGTAATATCTTTTTTCGCATATATTAAGAAACTTTGTTTTCTTTTACAAAAATAATTTCGTTAAGGCATGTAATATTTAACGAAAGTAACGATTTTTTTCGTAACACTTTTTTTTTTTTTAATTATATAAAATTATTTTGCATTTTATTAAAATATTTCGTACAATTTCGTATATATTACAAAAGAATTTCGTGGTGCGAAACCACGAAGCATTTCGTACAATGTACAACATTTTTCGTGTATATTAGGCATGGATTATTTTCAGTGTACTATTTCCTTTATGTTAAGTCAAATTTGACAAATCTAGCAACATCAGCAACAATCCCTACGTGTCTCTAGCAAACATTGTCCGATTTGGTTTAGCATAAACTAGTTATTCCGAAATTTCCAATATTTTTGTAATATACCAAATATAACATTATATAGTCTTGCTCTTTTTTCTTAAATTGCAACAAATGCAGACGAAATAAGTACTTTTTCTTGTTAAATTAGAAAAAAAATATTATCAATTAAATTATCTTTTAACAAAACATTTGTTTAAACAAATACACTATTTGTCTGAACATTTTTTATATTGTTTAAATATTAACTAAATTATTTCTAAACATTGTTGCTAGGTTTTCAAATTAAATACAAAGACTCGTATCATAATTTCAGCTTAAAAGCTATTATAGTAGACAGTTTTATTTTATTCATTTTTAATTTGTCTCAAAAATAAAATTAAAAAAAAAAAAACTATGTGCAAAACTTATTTGAAAATAAAAACACATAATAAACATACAAAAAATCCAAAAATAATCACTAATTCTTATCTCAAGGTCTGGGACGTTGTCGTCATTACTATGTATGAGAAGAAAATAAAAACTAATCAAATTATATGTATTTAAGAACACGTTTAGTATTGAAATTGGGGGAAAAAATAAATACTTATTTTAAGTATATAATATAAAAACTTATTGTACTCAAAACTAATACCTTGTACTAATAAGTATTATTTAATCAAAATTGCAATTAATCAATCAAATTCAATGCATTTTGGAAACTATAAAGAAGTAAATTTGAACTTAAATGGTTTTAAATTCCAAATATTTGTAATACAAGTCAAACTTATAAAATTTTTACTAAAATTTACTATTTTTATAAATTTTAACTATTTAATTTTAATTGTCTTTTATATATCTTCAAAATTGACCTCAATACCTACATAAGTATTCCTCATTTGTCATGGATTGACATTATCATTGCTGCTGACAAGTGCAATTAAGCGTTTTTGTAACCAATAACTTATGTATTCCTGATTTGTTAGTTAAATAAGAAATACGTAAGTCAACAAGGTGTGGCTTGAAAATTATTTATATTTAACAATGTTGCAGATTTAAATTTCAATTAAATAAATACCGCAAATTTATTACAAATTATTGTCATACTTAAACGATTTAAATAAACAACAATAAAAGTATACAATTATGCTCTAGTTATATAAATAAACAGAAAAAAACGTATAAGCTTTATCTATTCATGCTAAATTAAAAGAAGAACTCACTGAGAAATATAATATGGCGCCCAAAATATGAAATTTAACTCGCGAATATAACACATTATAGAAATGTTTTCTTCTTAGGAATTATCAGGACTGAGAGCAGTCAAAATTAAACTGATAACGATAATATATTACAACAAATAGGAAGATTGATCCAAGCTCGAGTCTATAATCTAGTCTATAGTCCAGACTATAGTCTAAACTATAGTCTAGTCTATAGTCCAGTTAATAGTCTAAACTATAGTATAGTCTATAGTCTAAACTATATTATAGTCTAGTCTGTAGTCTAGTCTATAGTCTAGTCTATAGTCTAGTCCATAATCTAGTCCATAATCTAGTCCATAGTCCAGTCCATAATCTAGTCCATAGTCTACTCCATCGTCTAGTCCATAGTCTAGTCCATAGTCTAGTCCATAGTCTAGTCCATAGTCTAGTCCATAGTCTAGTCCATAATCTAGTCCATAATCTAGTCTATAGTCTAGTCTATAGTCTAGTCTATAGTCTAGTCTATAGTCTAGTCTGTAGTCTAAACTATAGTCTAAACTATAGTCTAGTCTAGTCTAGTCTATAGTCTAGTCTATAGTCTAAACTATAGTCTAGTCTATAGCCTAGTCTATAGTCTAAACTATAGTCTAGTCTATAGTCTAGTCTATAGTATAAACTATAATATAGTCTATAGTCTAAATTATAGTATAGTCTAGTCTATAGTCTAGTCTGTAGTCCAGTCTATAGTCTAGTCTATAGTCTAGTCTATAGTCTAGTCCATAGTCGAAACTATTATCTAGTCTATAGTCGAAACTATTATCTAGTATATAGTCCAGTCTATAGTCTAAACTATAGTATAGTCTAAACTATAGTATAGTCTATAGTCTAGTCTGTAGTCTAGTTTATAGTCTAGTCTATAGTCTGGTCCATAGTCTACATAGTCTAGTACATAGTCTAGTCCATAGTCTAGTCCATATTCTAGTCCATAGTCTAGTCTATAGTCTACTCTATAGTTTAGTCCATAGTTTAGTCCATAGTATAGTCCATAGTCTAGTACATAGTCTAGCCCATAGTTTAGTCTATAGTCTAGTCTAGTCTATAATCTAGTCCATAGTCCGGTCTATAGTCTAAACTATAGTATAGTCTAAACTATAGTATATTCTAAACTATAGTATAGTCTATAGTCTAAACTATTATCTAGTCTATAGTCCAGTCTATAGTCTAGTCTGTAGTCTAGTTTATAGTCTGGTCTATAGTCTAGTCTATAGTCTAGTCTATAGT